TGAATAATAGTTTCATTAACTGGTTTTCCTTGTAGATGTATGGATATTATCCTGTCATTGACAGTGTTGTACTTCAGGATAGATCTTGAAATGTTCTTTTTAACAATGAATGTGATGCTGCTCCTCTTCAATTTTGTCATTCCTGGCATAGTGGACGATATGATTGTCCAATTCAAAATGACCAGTACCAGTCCATTTCAGCTCACTAATGCCTAGGATATCAATCTTCAAGCATTTCATTTTGGACACCTTCCAATTTTCCTAGATTCATACTTCGTGCGTTCCACATTCTGATTATTGATGGATTTGAAGCTGCTGCTTCTCATTTTGAGTTGTGCCACATCAGCAAATAAAGGTCCCAAAAACTTTACTCCATCGACATTATTAAGGTCAACTCTACTTTGAGGAGGCAGCTCTTCCCCAGTCATAATTTGAATGCCTTCCAACGTGAAGGACTCATCTTCTGGCACTAAATCAGACAGTATTCCGTGGCTATTCATAACGTTTTCATTGGCCAATTTTTTTTAGAAGTAGATCGCCAGGTCCTTCTTACTAGTCTGTCTTAGTCTGCAAGCTCCACTGAAACCTATCCACTACGGGTGACCCTGCTGGTATTTGAATTACTGGTAGCATATCTTCCAGCATCACAGCAACACACTAGCCACCATAGTATGACAAACTGACAGATAAGAAGAATACAGAATTTTCCTTGGACTGCAAGAAGAACGAACAAATCTGTCTTGGAAGAAATACAGCCAAGATGCTCCTTAGAAGTGAGGATCTTGAGACTTCATCTCACGTACTTTGCATACGTTATCAGGAGGAACCAGTCCCTGAAAAAGGACATCATGCTTGGTAAAGTAAAAGGTCAGTGAAAAAGAGGAAGATTCCCAAGGAGATGGATTGACACAGTGGCTGCAACAATGGGCTCAAACATAGCAAAGGTTGTGAGGATGATGCTGGACCAGGCAGTGTTTTGTTCTGTTGTACACAGGGCCGCTATGAGTTGGAACTGACACAATGGCACCTAACAACAACAACAAGAACATCCACTGCTGTTGGGAATGTAAACTGGTATAATCATAGTGGAAAACAGTATGGTGATTTCTCGAAAAATTAAAAATAGAATTACCGTATGACTCAGCAATTCCACTCCTAGGTAGGGGCCTAAAAGCAATGACACAAACAGACATAGGTACACCTAGCAAAAAGGTGGAAATAACCCAAATGCCTATCGGCAGATGACTGGATAAACAAATGTGGTACATACATACAATGGAATACTACTTAGCCTTAAAGAAAAATGAAGTCCTGATACATGCTTTAACATGGATGAACCTCGAAGACATGCTGAGTGAAATAAATCAATCTTAAAAGGACACATAGTGTATGATGTCACTTACAAGAAATGAGAAGAATGGTTAATTATATAAAGACAAATTGTTACTGGTAGTTACCCGGGACAGGGATGGGGAGTGCAGGGAAGAAAAGGGGATATCACTCATTGGGAAGCAGTGAATTTTTGTCTGTGGTGATGGGAAAATTGGCATAAACTAAGGGCAGTGGTTACACAATCAAACTAATGTGTCTGTTACATTAAGCTGCACACCAGGAGAGACAAAGGGGATGGGCAAATTGGCAAATAAAGTGTTTTATATAATTTTCTACTACAATAGCAGCCAAAACAAACAAACAAGTCTGCACCTGTTGATACTACTTAGGTACAACAAAACACTTCATGGGGTTAGTTTTCTTGGTTCGAAGGTTTACGGTCATAGCTTTGCGGGTCTATCCGGTCAATTGGCCTAACGTTTTTAGAATTTCTGTTCCACCTCCTAGTTCGGTGAGTAGCACCTGGGGTCTTAAAATCTTGTGAGTGGACACCCAAGATACAACAATTGTTCTTTATTTGCCTGGAACAGCAGAGGAAGAAGGAGACCCAGGAATCAGGAAGGAAATGGACTGCAGGTTTAATTACCTCCATAAACTACTATCTCCATTATCATGAGACCAGAAGAAATGGATGGTGCCTGGCTACAGTTACTGAATGTTTTGATCAAGGACCCAACACAGATGGATCCTGATCAAAAGGAAGAAAAGCATGGAACAGAACTTCAAACTCTTGTTGAGACCAGACTTACTGGATCCATTGAAAAATGGGAAATGAAGCTGAGGTGAGATGAGGCTAAATCGTGGGTTCTACTCTGGGGTAGGAGTCCCTGGGTGGTACAACCAGTTAAGCACTTGACTACTAACCAAAAAGTTGGCAGTTTGAACCCATCCAGAGGCACCTCAGAAGAAAGGCCTGGCTATCTACTTCTGAAAAAATCAGCCGTTGAAAACCTCATGGAGCACAATTCTACTTTGGCACACATGGGGTCAGCATGAGTTAGAATTGACTGAATGGCTACCTTTTTTTTTTTTTAAATTTTATTTTTGGATAAATAGGAATATAGAATTTCTGAGGAAAACATGAATTTAAATGAAAAATTGTAATAAAGCTTAAGATGATGTTATAAAAACATCAAGTCAGAAAACTTGCTTGATATGAAACTTTTGCTAGGGAAAATGCAGCCTTTATTTTAGAGACCTTGTTAGCTTCCTCAACCTGATAACCTGTCATCAGTTATACACTCGTCAATTAGCAGTCACATATAAATATAAGAGCTTTTCAACTCACTGGAGGTGGCCATTTTGAAAATCCTTTCCTTCTGAATTGATGAGTTTATAGGCGTCCTCAAGCATTGGTGGTGGATACTGATTAAATTCTCCTATTGAGAGAGCAAAGTTATCATTAGATTTTTAAACTGGAAATTGTACTTGTTAGGTAAAGAGAACCCTGACAGGAATCCTTTTAGAAGCAACAACTGTCACTAAAATATTTCAGTATAATTTGGCTGATGTGAAAACAGCAAATGGTAGCAACTAGAAATAACACTCAAAACTTGATTTTAGAGCTTTTTAGCAGACAAAGAAATTACCAGGGTCACAGAGGAAATAGACCTCCTCAAATTGTTCATTTAATGGTTAATGATGATGCAGGGACATATGATTTCATATGCTCAGACCAACATAATCGAAGGGAAATTTTATTCTGATTCTCTAAAGCTTTTGCATGCAAACTTATGCTACTACTGGATCAAACATAGAAAAAGTAATGTTTTATTATATCATGCTCTTTTGTGCTTCTATACCAATTAACACTGATTTCATAGGAGGAGAAGAATCACAGAAAGATTTTCAGCTTACAGGTCTGAATAGTATGCCATTTTATTCCCTCGTGATGTTGTTCTGTAAGCTGTGGAGTATTGAGAAGTGTATCATTTTTTTCCTCATTTAATGAAAATGAACCGTTTTTAGTTAGAGGAGGCCTTTGGCCATTGAACAACTCAAGACTTCAGGAAAACATCTCAGAGAAATTCTGTGGTCTTACAGTTATCATATTTCTCTGACTTAAGATGCATTTACTATTATTTTTTCTTTTCCCTATGTCTCTGAAATGAGAATATGACTTCTAATCAATTGCATTCAACACTTGCTGTTAGTAAGGCAGGAACTCTGATGTAGTTGTCATTGCCTGTGCATGCAGAAACATCAGAAGTGCCAGCAACAACACTTGTAAAACTGGGGTGGGCAATTTGGAAAAAATTCCCAGAAGTATTAGTAGGGAAGTCTTTTGATCTCTATGAAGCAGGTGGTTGTGGGAAGGCAGTGACTCAGATGTGTTTGGCAACAATCTTCTGTTGGGAGTCAAAAGCAAGCTAGTGCTACTTATTTGCAAAACCACATAAGAGCCCAGCATCACCAGCTTTGAGTTATTTTTTAATCTTAAAAATGCTGCATCAGTAGCCATCTTGATGACACAAAGAACAATATTTCATAGAAAAAAGTGGATATTGATGATTCTGAGTCAAAAAGTAGTTCACAAGTGTCAAATTCTAAACAAAAAAAATTGTTTTAGAAATGTCTCAATCTATTTCACATGTATTTTCCTTTTTATGTATGCACAAAAATGACATATTCAGTCTAAGTTTAAAAAAGATCAATTGCTATAAAATAAAAACACTAATAGAAAAGTTTGTAGCAAAATTCATTGAAGGCATTTTTTTCTTCCTTTGTGCATAAAATAATGGTGCATCTTACAATTGAGGGCATCTTAGATTTAATGAAATACAGTAGCATTGCCAAGAGGGCAATTATTGGATTCTCCAATTGCATATGAGTCACAAGAAAAGGTGGAACTCACTCTGCAATGAAGAGTGAACCCTCAAGATATTCTCATTGTGGTGATGTTGGGGGATTCCTTGAACACCAGGACAACTTTTGCATTCTAGCGTGGTAGGATTGGTTTCTGAAGAATCTAGCTCTAAACCTGTCAGATTCTTGGAAAGGTTCAGTTCTGATTCTGCGGGATCTTCTAGAGCAGAGTTTCTCGTCCTCAGCATTATTGACATCTGGACTGGTGAGGGGCTGGCATGCTCATTGTAGCAGCATCCATCCAATGCCAGTAGTATCTCCTAGTTGTGACAATCCAACCAAAATGCCTCCAGACATTGCCAGATGTCCCCTGCGGGGAAAAGTCACCCCTGGTTGAGAACCACTGTTCTAGAAGAGCATTTCTCAAAAACCATTTGTGGTGAAAGGCAATGTATTTTTATTTCTAACCCTTTGCAGACTGATATTTCTGGCCAATACACTGTTCAATGAGGCAGAGTGCACTGCTCATGTACTTGTATATTGCAGCAATATCAAATTGCTTTAAAATTTTCTAGATGCTTGCTTTCAATCTCTCTTCTTTTCTCTTCACAGACCAGTAATAAACATTTTGTGGACTGACATCCATACATGGAGGATGCTTTATTTCGCACTGGCATAGAGCCTTACTACTCAAAGTGTGGTCCATGAACTAGCAGCATTGGCATAACTGGGGAGCTTGCTAGAAATGCAGAATCCCAGGGTCTACTCCAGACATCCTGAATCATGACCTGCATTTTAATCAGATCCTAGGTGATCTGTATGCCCAGAGGAGCACAGGACTGTGTTGTCTTTACACACTCATACAAGTCTCCAAGGTGTGTCAAGGTTGGAAACAAACCCGGTGTAGCAGGTAAAGCTTTTATTTAAATTTAAATGCTCATCCTGGAGATCGTCTAAGAGCTGCTGGAATATCTTCAAGCTGAGAGAGTGTGGGTCAGGAGACCTCCAATCACTCTGCTTTCTCGTTCTGAGATTTTGGCTAAGGGAATCGACCATGGAAACGTCTCACCACATTATGACCAACATAGGTAAAAACAGGGTATATCCAAGATATGTCCTATTCTCCACCCTCATCTCACCGTCTAAGTCATGTATCTGGATTAGCTGTAGATGCAAAGATAAATTAGGTTATCAACACTACTAACAAACATCATCTTCTTATTAAATAAAGAGGAACAACTAAATGACTTACGTCTGACTGAGTATACAAATGGCTTAATAAACTTCACAATATAATCCAGATCTGGTTTATGAATCCTCCCAAGCTGTACCAGATGGTGTTCAAGTGGGTAGCTGGCTAAATCCTCCATGTCGTCCTTATGTGTAGAACCGAGGGAAATCACAGATATGATATAGCATTGACACTTGGCCCTCAGAGCCATCTTCTTCAAGAATTCCTTTCTCTCAAGATTTTTTCCAGCTGAGACCACAAAGATGACCTTGTATTTTCTTAGGTTAGGTGTTCCTGGAAAGAGATTCTTCATGGTCCACAGTAGGGCATGGCCAATGGTGGCTTCTCCATGCAGCTGTTGGAGGGAATCCTGGATGTACCTCTTCATTAGGATTCGGTTGTTATAACTTGTAAACTCAAACTCTGTTTTCACTGTACTCTTCTGTCTTCTATCCCAAGGAGAATAGCTCAGCAAGGCAATCCTATCACCAGAGTCTGAAGCTGAAGGGTCTGAAGCAATGTCAAAGTTGTCAAGCATTGAGCTTACCAATGCCTTCATGGCCTTAAACTCATCATTTGCTATATTTTGAGAATTGTCTAAGAGGAAGGCCACATCCATGTATGAATTTTCAGGTAAAAAAATCTCTTTGATGCAAGTCTCTGGAAAACATTTATCTGAAAACACACAGAGAGATTCATTGTTTCAATGTTGGCACAACAAAACACTGTTGTTTGAGATCTTCAGATTATTCAGTGACTAATTACCAATAATTAATAATCTGATCAATAGCTCTTCAATCTCACAACATTTCAGTTAATAAAAAGTTTTCAATGTTCCAATATTTCTGTGGCCATTAGAAGACAATTGGGAATTTCACTGGTGAAAGAAGATATAGGTACCATGTATACCTGAAGTCTACAAGTCATTTCCAAACTCATGTAAAATATAGTCTCAAAATTTTTGAGGTTTTTGATACAAACCACCAAATTGGCCCCCCAAAAGATATATCAATGGGAATAATCTTCTAAACCAACTTTTAATTTCTTAGGAAACTCTACACCCTATGGAAACTGAAACCCTGACATATGATATTGGGAAACTAGAAAATCGAAAATGGAATCTACAATTAAAAATATAAATCTTTGATAAAGCCAGAGTCAATAACTCACCAAAAAGGCGTTTAAGCTTTTCAGCACAATAGTATTCTTCTCATTAGTCTTACCATAGCAAAGTGAACACTGGCAGAATCTTTCTAATGGATCATAGTCCCCATCTGGTGGAATTGGAATCACTTGAAATGTTCCAGTGTTGTCAAACTGCATTGAAAAAGAAGTAGAGGCTTGTTTGCTCTAACAATGATTAGGAAGCCACTGTGCACCTATTGTAAGGATTAGTTTGAAAAGCACCCAATTAATCACCATTATCTGGCATTATAGCCCTATGTTCTATTCTATGCACACACACACACACACACACACACACACACACACACACACACACGTGCGCGCGTGCACGCACGCACTATCCCCCTTTAATCCTGAAAATAACCCAAAGAAATATGTAAAACAGGCCTTAACACCCTCATTTTATGATACAAAAACTACCATAAGATAACCTGAGCAGATTCACAGACTGAAGCTAGAAGTAGGATTTTCTGACTCCTGTTTTCAATACATTTTCAAGCCTGCAATTCTACACTGAATTTTTTACATCCTTCCAATCATGCACCAACTTCTGAAGTTGGGCTCTGCAGAAATGTCACAACCATAAGTTTTCTTTGGCCTCTTCAAACAGTGACCCCCACCTATCTCCACCTCAACCACGTTGTCTAGAAGAAGGCACATCTTTCAGATGTCAAGTGGACTTCCAATCACGGATTCAATGAAAAGTCTACTTCAAAAGGCAGCAGACAGAAAATACTAAGTCTATTCAAATACTTGTTAGTACACTGCTTGATTGCCATCTCTTTCTTGATTACTCCTTTGCTTTAATACTCACCGAAATGGGCAATATATAGCATTCAGTGAGTCAGTTACTATTTAGTGGGCATTTACTCTGTGTGAGGCACCATGCAAGACAGATACTTTTATTACAATGAAAGAAATCTATCATTCCCAGGTGGTGGTGAGGGTATCTCTCAACCCACATAGATGCTCATGCTTTTTTTCTTCTCTCCCTGGGGAAATTAAAGGATTAGAAAAGCCACACACTTCCCTTTTCTGTAAAGTGCTCAGTGAGCATTTGGAAATATTTAAAATCATTCCAGTCTTATGCTTAGAAAGTATTTACTGTACTGCTACTCTTTTTTATGAAATTGGCTGCTCTGGGGTGTTATTTTGGTTTTGGCCTTGTTGGTCCCCCATGTAAATACTGAATGGTGACTTAGCAAATCAGAAAGTTTATTCACAGAAGTGATGCTCTTCACTCATTCATTCATTTGTTCAACAAATATTTATTTCAATGAAATATTTATTTCATTGCCTACAATGTTATCAACACTATTCTAGATGCTGAGAATACAGAAATGAACAAAACAAACAAAATCCCTACCTTCCTAGAGCTTGCATTCTAGTGGGGAGAGACATATCATAAACATAATAAATAAGTAAATCATCTAGCATATTGGGTTTTTATAGAAAAAAATAATAAAGTGGGGCATCATGGATTGAATCATGTCCCCCAAAGATATCTGTCAACTTGGCTGGGTCATGATTTCTAGTATTGTATGATGTACCATTCTGTAATCTTATGTGATTTCCTTATGTGTTGTAAACTCAATCACTATGATGTAATAATATAGATTAGCAGCAGTTATGCTGATGATGTCTACGAGATTGGATAATGTCTTACGCCAATCTCTTTTGAGATATAAAAGAAAGAAGCGAGCAGAGACACATGGGAACCTCATACCACCAAGAAAGCAGTGCCAAGAGCAGAGCACATCCTTTGGACCCGAGGTTCCTGTGCAGAGAAGCTCCCAGATCAAGGGAAGATTGATAACATGGACCTTCCTCCAGAGCTGAGAGAGAAAGCCTTCCCCTGGAGCTGACACCCTGAATTTGGGCTTGTGGCCTACTCGACTGTGAGAGAATAAACTTCTCTTTGTCAAAGCCATCAACTTGTGGTATTTCTGTTAGAGCAGCATTAGATGACTAAGACATGGGGTAATAGAGATGGGAAGTGCTGGGGGTGAAACTTTAAATAGAGCTCACTGAGAAAATATCAGCCATAACTCAAAGGTGGAGGAGGTGGGAGCCCTATCTGGGGCAAATGTTTCAGGCACAGGGAAGAGTCAGGGCAAAGGCTCTGGGGAAGCAATGACAGGTAGTGAGGACAGCAAATATAGATCCTTTTTTTTTTTTTTTCCCTAGAAGATCTGATATGGGGTAACCAAGAAATGGGGCAGTAGCTGAAGTGAAAAGTTGGACCAAAAAAAGTTTTTTTGTTTTTAAATTTTTCTGACTGGAATGATTCAGTAGAGAGGGAAAAATTGATCTGTAGTAGACAGTAAGCTGATTCCAGTAACAATACAACTCTAACATGTTAGGGGATTTTGTCCAACATCATAAGAGAAAAGATCAGGGTGTAAAATTTTTTAATGTCTATTCTATAGAGAAAATCAGATGTATACAGGTTCAACTTGCTTGAACTTTAGAAATTTTAGAAATCTGTAGAACATCAGTAGGACATTTTAATTTAAGTTCTAGTTGAGGCAGGGTCCAGAGATAAACAAATTTTAAATGAGGCAAAGTATTTTAAAGAAGGATTGCCAAAGAAGTAGTAAAAAAAAATGATGAAAGCGTTATGGGCTGACAATTTCACAAGAAAATAAAAATGACCAATAAACATATGAAAAAATGTTTAACCTCACAAAGAAATGTGGATCAAAACAACAACAGTAGGTTAAACCCCCAGAGTATGGCCCCCAGACACCCTTTTAGCTCAGTGGTGAAGTTATCTCCAAGGTTCACCGTTCAGCCTGGGAGTCGACAGCCCCGTAAAACCAAGTGAGACTAACGAGGTACAGTAGTCCAGTGACAAGGGCCAGAAGGCAGAAGGGGACAAGGAAGCTGGTGATAGGGAACCCAAGGCTGAGTAAGGATATTGCTGATGTGTTGTGAGATTGTTAACCGTTGTCATCGGGCAACATTTGTAGTAACTGTTAAATGAGAAACTTTTGTTCTGTAAGTCTTCATCTTAAGTGAGAATAACAGCACAATTGGAAGAGCGTAGTCAATGTCACTGAACTGTGCATGTAGAAATTTTTGAAATGGTGTATCTTTGGCTATGTGTATTTTCACCAAAAAAAAAAAAGGTTGAGAATTTAGAGGGTTGACATGTTGTGGGGTTGTTAACCAATGTCATAAAACAATATGTGTACTACTGTTTCATAAGAAACTATTTGTTCTGTAAGCCTTCACCTGAAGTACAATAAAAAAAAAAAAAAAGACAACAGTAGGATGCTCTTATTTATCCATCAGGTCGGCAAAAATTTAAAAAGCATGATAGATAAAGTCCAGTGTTGGTAAGTATGTGGGGAAACAGACACTCTTAGTCCCCAAGGGTGGTAAGCTTCATGCGTTCAGGGCCCAGGCAGCAAGCACTTGATGAAGAGGATGGAGAAGAGAAAGAGGAGAGAGGCCAGGCCGGGTGAGGAGGAGATCCTGAGTGGAGAAGAGCATAGTGACAGTGATGCATAAAAAATGATTAAAGGGAGCGTTGTTCAAGCATGATCCATGACCAGAACCAATGTGTGGTGTTATTATCTGTCAACAGCAGAGGTCGGAAGAAGTGGACAGCTTCTTAGGTCAGTTACTCTGCAGAGAGATGGTGCAAATTAAAAAGTATTTATTAACCAAGAGTGGCTGGAGGCTCTTTTCCATTTATGATTCAGAGGAGTTTTGGCATGGTCCAACAAATAAGGGATTGAACTTGATACCCTATTCAGCCTTTGCCTATTCTGTAATTTGATGCAGCGCTCAGAGCTCAAATGCCATTTGTTTCTCCAGGGAGCAAAATCAGGGAGGCAGAAACATTTCAAAGAGAAACTGAAAACCACGAGACTTTCTACAATCCTTTTTGTCGGGCTCTATTGTGACTCTCCCTGTGGTACCTGTTTCCAAACAATTTTTTGAATGTGTCGGGAGCAGATTAATTCTCCCCATGCTTTAGAGGGCATTTTCTTCTTTTTACAGAAGAAAAATACGTCTTAGTATGAAAATTGATCTTTATAACTCCTTGGATAACATGAGGGCTTTGGCCAGCTCCAGGGGCATGTATTTCATGGGTAATCAGATTATAATAGTAGATGGAGAGATTCTTAACTTTTTTGTGGGGGAAGGAGAGCATAGATCCCATTAAGAATCTGTGGGTCTAAAAAGCAGAGGGCCCTCTTTTGGGAAAAATGTTCATATACACCAAATGTTTTGCACAACTTCAGCGGCTCAAAGATCTCCTGAACTTCACCTATTGCATGATAAGGCCAACTTGTTAATGAGCTACAGCAAGCAGTTGACAAATCTGAGACCAGGTCAGCAGAGGGCTGGCAGAGCACCCCATTCGTGGCCCTTTATACAAGACCAACCTGAGTTTGGATCTTGATTTAGCCACTTACTAACTGTGCAAAATTGGATGAGTCACTTGAACTCTCTGGGTCTCAGTTTCCTCATCTGTGAAATGGAGATAACTGCATTCAGTTCAGAGGGTTGTGAGGATATATGACATGTATGTAGAGCTCTTGGGATAGTTCCTTGTACAGGCAGGAGCTGAGCAATTGTGGCTGCTATTATTATTAACCACTCTTATTATTAGCTATTGTAGTCCATGGACCCTGGTGGTATAGTGGTTAAGAGCTTGGCTGCTAACCAAAGTGTTGGCAGTTTGAACCCACCAGCCGTTTCTTGGAAACTCTATGGGGCAGTTCTACTCTGTCCTATAGGGTTGCTATGAGTCGGAATCACCCGGATGGCAACGAGTTTGGTTTTTGTTTGGCATCAATTCAAGGTCCCTGGGCGGCACAACGGCTTGTGTTCGGCTACTAACAGGTTGGCAGTTCAAATCTACCTAGCTGTGCCACGAAAGGAAGGCCTAGTGATCTACTTCTGTAAGATTAAAGTCATTGAGAACCCTACAGAGTGCACTTCTACTCTAACACAACTGAGGTCCCCATGAGTCAGAATTGACTCGATGGCAATGGATTCTTTGGTTTGGCAACAATACAGCTATAAAAACTGAAAAGGTGATCAAAAGGCCCCATATCTCCCCCTAGTCCCATCCTTCCCTACCAATACCACGCCCTTAAAAATAAAGAAATTGCCAAGGAAAGTTCTTACCCCAAAAGCCTCATCAAGGAAAACTCTTCCATTAAAAGTGAAGACTGTTGGACTGATATCAAGGGCGCTAAACTCCATGGTGGCTGTGAAGATGGGCGACTTGCTGGCTGCTTGGCCAACGCTAAAAAACACAGCAACTCTCCTCACATTGGCTCCTGCATATGTCTGCTTGAATACATTCCGGGCCACAAACCTCATCGCATGGCCAATGTCTTGGGCCTGTGCGGGGATTCGATATTTTACTCGAGAAAGAAGTTGGAGGAGTTGCTTCTTGCTATGATAGTCGGACCAACGGATGAGATAGCTGGTGTCTGAGTCATAGGAAACCACAACAACTCTTGCTCCCACAGGACAATTATTTTTCCTGATCTTCAAGTCATTGACAATGGAAGTGATGATGTCCCTTGTTTTATTAAAGCTCTGTTCTGTGATGTCGTAGGACTGGTCCAGGGCAAATACCAGCTCTGTTGGATACACTGGACACCTTTCTACAAAAATGAAAAGTAGAAGTATCAAGTTATTTCAATAGATCAAAGCCTCTCCCAGATCTCCCATTGAGCTCGCACCAAAGTCTAGGAAAATCCAAGCGTTTCATCCAGTTCTAGAACTAGAGGTTCCCATGTACAAAGGAAGGAAAGGAATCTGTTTTGTAAACTTGAAGCTGTTACGTTAAGTGCAGAGCTTGGCATTTGGCTATATAATGGGAAATTGCAGGGACTTTGGGGCTGGTGGAACAGATCTGTATCCTGACTGGGGTGGTGGTTACATAAATCTAGGCATGTGTTAAAACTCAGACCTATGCACACACACAAAATGTGGATTTTACTGTGTGTAAATTTTAAAAAAGAAAAAGGGAAATTATATTTTATTGGGGGAATTTGGAAAATCCACTTCCTCCAAAAATCTTCAGAAACGAAGTGGTAGTCAGCTGGAAGATGTTTATCTACTTATGCAACAAATGTTTACTGAGTATTTACCATATGAAACACAGAGTGACACACACCGTGAGATATTGCAAATATGAGTCAAAAGCAAGTCGGCCCTCAGGGAACTTAAATTGGGGAGGATCATTATAATATAAGGTGTAGAGTGGTTGGGCCTCTGGATGAGGATTCAAGGGACTAAGAGGCTATTTACAACCAGGGATTATCTCGGGAGGCTTCATGAAAGCCAGCTGTTGAAGGAAAGCCATGGTTTCATTCCAGGAGGAAGGGAGCCATGATCTATCATAAAAATGGGACTGTCTGCAATTCCTAACTCTACGCTAATAGTCTTATGACAACCGAACTTTAAGCACTTCATAGAGAATCTGACCTGTGTATCATATTGAACCTAACATAACCTAACTTGTTTAAACTCTGAACACAGGAAGAGAAAAAAGATTTTTTTTTTAAAAAAAAAAGCACCTCATATATGCAGTCTGTTCTATTACCCACAAACTAGTGAAGTCCCAAAGCACCTTAAACTCAAAATCTCCCATACCTCAACCACTGCTCTCAGTAATAGAAGTAGAGAGGAATTATTGATGTGTTTTGAATCAAGAAATTTTACTGTAGGTATATGTAAAAATGTAAAATGAATACTGAACAGTAGAGTAAGGAGAACGAAGTATTCCTTATTTCTTAGACCACCATTAAAAATAACTGGTGAAGTGGGAGACAAGCATCTTTGAGACTGACTTATCATCACAGGTTCTCCTAGAAGGGAAGAACTTAATCCTATTTGCTTTTATTCTCCTGCTACCCCAGTGTCAAGGAGCCCTGGTGGCATAGTGGTTAAGTGCTCAGCTGTTAACCAAAAGGTCGGCCTTTTGAACCCACCAGCCACTCCACGAGAGAAAAAACCTGGTTATCTGCTTCCGTAAAGATTACAGCCTTAGAAACCCTATGGGGCAGTTCTACTCTGTCCTATGGAGTCGCTATGAGTCAGAATGGCAACAGGTTCCTTGGTGGCCAGCAGGTTACCTGATAAATTCAAATCCATGAAGTTTTTCATTGAGCTTTTTTTTTTTTTTAATTCCTTAATTAAAGTGAATGGCTCCATACTTCGGAACAAGCTACAAGACCCTGAGGGTTTAATTCACAGGCCTCTAGGAGACCAGGAGCTCTTGAAATTGACATAACCAGCTTCAATAGCCATGCCATCCAAAACATCTAGGGCACCATGCAACACTGCAGTCTAGCCCCTGGGGAGACCATCATGGGCAGGGTAAGGTTTACGAGTGGTTGACACTTGGTGAGATGAAAGGTGTAAACAGAGGTTCCAGGGAGGAAAGGAAACATCAGTTATCCAAGAAGCCAGTGTCAATGGGTTCAGCAGCAAACAGAGCAACTGAATGAGGACCAGTCATCAAGAATCCTGTTCACTGAATTCCCAGTAACACAAGGCCTCTTCTGTAAAGAAACTGAGTTGTAAACCATGGCAGGAAATAGAAAACACCACAGTGTAAAGAGGTCAGGGACTGGGGGTCACCACTGGCTTTCACCATCAGGTTGAGACGTAAACAAACAATGACATTAACAGTTATATTCAAAAGACAGCTGTGTTCACAGAGAATAAAGAAGTCTTTCTTCTAGACGAGGTAAGGGTTTCTTTCAAAGGGTTCTTGTCAGAAAGCCATACTTACTTCAGCAAGAAACACAGTATGGTAAGAATACTCACCTTTCCAACAAGCTACAAAAAGGAGAGAGAAAGAGAGAAGAGTCAGTTACATTTTTGAAACACAAACTAAAAATAATTCAAAAAATAAAATTTCAACAAAGCTTAATATTTGGTTTGCCTCTAATAGCAAATGAGGCAAATCCTAAATTACAGCAGTCCAGGTTAAAGGACTGAGAATGCTTTTAAATTGTGAACCTTCTTGACCTGTTCCCCTTGTGAGCCACTGCCAGCCAACTTCAGCAGAACTTTGCTTGAAATCGGAAACATTGATCGCTTGTCTTGGAAACAGAAGAGGTGAGCCTCTGATTAAATGGCAAGACAGCTAAAATTCAATGTTTTGTCTCTCCACTCATAGCCTTCTGAGAGTCGTTCAGGAACACGAGGCTAAAATATGGGGTCTTATTTTCTTCCCTAATGAACACCTTGGGAATCTATTTTCTTGAAAAACCATAAGGATTTCCAGATGAACTTTATCTCTGCTGCACAATATAGCTCCTCTGTTGAGTGACCTCCATACCCACACAGAGAAGAGGGAAAAGCCCCCAAGGGTTCCTCCTGAGCAAAACAGCATCTGGTTTCTCTAAGTGATTTACTCGAAGCCTGAGACTAATCAGGGGAGAAATGTTGGTAAATCTTCGAGAAGACACAGGCCTGACAATGTCCATGTTCATTTTACTCAATTCCTAGGAAACGAATGAGTCATTCCAATATAATAAAAGTTTTTATTAGCACTGGCAACAAACTGGCCTTCCAGCCTGCCAGCCCATGTCTCACAGCAAACCTTTTGTTTGATTTAATCTGTGGCTAAGAGTCCCTGGGTGGTGCAAACAGTTAATGCACTTGGTTGCTAACCTAAAGGTTGGCAGTTCGAGTCCATCCAGAGTTGCCTTGGAAGAAAGGCCTTGGTGATCTATTTCTGACAAATTAGCCATTGAAAACGCATAGGGTCACTAGGTCGCTCTGAGTCAGAATCGACTTGAAGGCAATCGGTTCTTTTAATCCTGTGGCCACTGAGATGTTAACTGTCAGCAGACGCCCGCAGAGCCCACTGCTTCCTCTGTGTCTCAAGGCCCTTTACTCTGGCTGAGAACTCTCACATGTTAACTTCCAACTCAGCTCTGAGGTTAGAAACTGTCATGGTTTGAATTATGTCCCCCCAAAAATATGTGTACCAATTTGGCTGGGCCATGATTCCTGGTATTGTGTGGTTTTCCTAAATGTTGTAAATCCTGCCTCTATGATGTTAATGAGGGAGGATGGGTGGCAGTTGTGTTAGTAAAACAGGCCATTCTACAAGATTGGATTGTATCCTGAGGCAATGTCTTGAGATATAAAAGACAGAAGTGAGCAGAGAGACAGGGGGACGTTATACCATCAAGAAAGCAGTACTGAGAGCAGAGCGTGTCCTTTGGACCGGGGTCCTGGTGGCACAGAGAAGCTCCTAGTCCGGGGGAACACTGATGAAAAGGCTGACAGAGAGAGAAAGCCTTCCCCTGGAGCTGATGCCCTGAATTTGGACTTTTAGCCTACTTTACTGTGAAGAAATAAATTTCTCTTTGTTAAAGCCATCCGCTTGTGGTATTTCTGTTGTAGCAGCACTGGATGACTAAGACAGAAGCACAGGCTCTGGAAGTAGACACACCTGCCTGGGGCTGAGTTTGACAAAACTGAGGTGTCCTTGGGTAAATCACTTGACCTCTTTTAAGTGAGTGTGTTTTCCTGATTATATTTTTTCTAAAATATCCTATTTCCTAATGCCTCTCCCTCCAAAACTATAGCCCATCAGGCCCTCCTCTTTTATTCTCAACCACCCCCTTTCTCTCCCTATTCCTCTTGGATTTTTTAATTTTAAACTTAGGGGAGCATCCCAGCCACCAGCTCAGGACACAGACTCTTAGCTCTGTGTGGCAGAGAGCTGCTGCAGAATTGAAGTGCCAACAGTACTAGACCAGGGGTCCAAGCTTGCCAGCCTCATTTATGAAGTGAGGCTGTTTAAATTAGTTTTAAAGGTCTATCACCCACATCCTTATCTCCATTTTGAGGTCAGGTCTGGAATTCCATGCTGTCCAATCAGCATCGAGTCTGTTTATAGAACCTGCCCACTCTCCCCTGCCCCCTTAATTTCCTGGCTAACTCTTCATTCAGCGTTGGAAAACATCTCCCTCCAAATCCCAAACCCTCCAAGGGCCGATCCTTACCTCCCCAGCCCCTTCCATCTACCTTCTGTCTTTCTTGAGAAGACATCCTGATTTCTCTGAGAAGACTGGCAACACCACGAGGGAGTCTGATCACCACACTCATCTCTCCTACCATTGCTCTCCCCTGTCTCCACTCCTTGTGGTCCCAGTTTCACCTCCTTGTGGGTGCTGAAGGGCATTTTACCTCTCAAGCAATGGCCTTCACACATATCCTCTTCCTTTGAAACTTCTCTCCATTGGCTTCTTCTTGTTTCCTTTCAAGTTGCCTGCATTTAGCGGGAATTTCCCATCTCTGGGCTGCTATTTTTCTGCACCTTGGCCCTGTTCCTTTTGTCAAGGCGTCTTCCTGGGTGCATCCCTATAGTTTCTGTTTCTGACTGTCTGATTTGAAAAACTTAGGAACCTCATCCATCCAGTGGTTTTAAAAACCATGGGCACTTGAGTGGCTTCAGGGGCAGATTACCCAATAAGCAAGGTACACACCAGCTTAATTGTGCTTACTTACTAACCGTAGTGTGCAATTTCATCAAAGATGTGGTGAAACCCATGTGAAAACGTGCACTATGTATTAGTAAGTAAACACAATTAAGCCTGTGCGTACCTTACTGTAAGCCCGAGGATACCTTGCTTACTGGTTAATCCAACCCTGAGTGACTTGGACATCTGAGTCTCCTTCCCTGACTGCACCTTCATTAAAAAAACCAAACCATTTGCCATTGAGTCGACTCTGACTCATGGCGAACCTACACATTTCAGAGTGGAACTGTGATCAGTAAGGTTTTCAATGGCTGATTCTTTGGAAACAGATAGCCAGGGCCTTCTTTTGAGGTGCTTCTGGGTATAGTCAAACCTCCAACCCTTCAGTTAGCAGCCAAGTGCTTAACCATTTGTGCCACCCAGGGACTCCTGCACTTTTATTATTGCCATATTTAATTAGCTGCTGTAGGTCATTTTAATTTAGGGCCTATTCAACTATTGGCTATCTCTAAAACTCATCATCTTTTCCTACCAACTGATTGCTACCAATTCTTCCTCTACCTACTCGTCTACAGTGATACCAAGCCTCTCCCCCTCTAGTCTTACATTTAACTATAAACTTATTTTTTATTGTCATTTCCTTGCTGCACACTTGTACTCACTACTTCTTTATCCATTCTCCCCAGTAAAGCTTCTTGGATCTTCTCCTTTTTATGTTCTTCTGAGTGTGATTGTAGAAGCATTATTATTAATGTTATGGAAACATAAGAAGATGAATCACCTAAAATTCCGCCACCCTAACACAACAAATTTTTACATTTTTTCCATTTTGGTTCTAGTACTGATTTCTACGTCACATATATTTAGCTAAATGTAATCATACTAGGATTTAATTTAATTTTCTGCTTTTTAATGCCAATATTTTTCCATATTCTGACTGAATCTCCATAAAAAACACATCTGCTTAATATTTCATCAAGAAGATGATGCACCATAGCCTGGTGATAATTCTAAATAATCTAAATCTATAATCATTTGGTTCTAATGAACAGTACTTCAATAAACACCTTTACATGTAAGTTTTTCCTTCATTTGCATTATTTCCTTAGGGTACATTTTCAGAAATGAAATCACTGTGCCTTTACTACCTCATTTCCCCCCTTCTTCATAACCAAAGACAACGTCCCTATTTATCTCTTGCTTTCTTTATTCCTTTGCTGAAACTATTTTCTTGTTGCTCCCCCATAACTTTCCCATAACCAGACTCAATTATCTCCCTCCAAGCAGCCTTCGTTAGGTCCCTGGGTGGCACAAAGATTTGCACTCAGCTACTAACCTAAAGGATGTTTGAATCCACCCAGCAGCACCATGGAAGAAAGGCCTGGCAATCTGTTTTCATAAAGACTGCACCCAAGAAAACCCCATGGAGCAGTTATACTCTGTAACATATGGGGTCACCTTGAGTTGGAATGGACTTGACGGCAATGGGTTTGTTGTTTGTTTTAAGCAGCTTTCCTTAACTAACCATCTAACTACCAACCAACTCTAAGCCCCCATGTTCATGCAGTTACCTTCACGACCACTCAGTCTTTCACACATAATTGTTATGTTAACCCAAAACCAAACCCAAACCCATGGCTGTCGAGTTGATTCCGACTCATAGTGACCCTACAGGACAGAGTAGAACTGCCCCAAAGGGTTTTCAACGAGCAGCTGGTAGATTTGAACTGCTAACCTTTTGGTTAGCAGCCACAGGTCTTAACCGCTACGCCACCAGGGCTTCAACTGTTATATTAGTGTGAGCTAATCCACACATCTTTAGAGTTGGTCTCTAATTGCTTCACATATGCGTGGTTTCTCTCCCTCTGTGAATCACACTTCTTGAGCAAAAGCATGTATCATTTATTTACCACATATCTCTTTGTCTCCCACCCTTGATGTCTTGGAAATACCCTCTTGGAAATACCCTAAATATCCACACCTATGGCAGATGCTCTTGTTCCATGACACTCAGACAGATACTCACCACTGTGCTCCCGCAGGAACTGGATCAGAGCACACTGCTGTAAATAAGAAAAGACAGACAAGAAACATGAGCACAGAGACCTCTGAGTGGCCCTGTTTACTTCCCAGTGGACTGGTGGGTTTACCATAACGAATAAGGAGAAACATACAGAAAGTTCAGGCTGCGCAGCCATGCCTTTAGGTCCCTAGGAAAACAAAAACAAAGCAAGTTATTGATATGTAAACCCGAGTCTAGAGGAAGAAAACAAAAACCCATAAGTATTCCTGAACTCAGTTTACAATGCACTTTTCCCATTTATATTAAGAGTGTAAGCGTTTTTGGTTCAGTGTTAGATCAATTAAGCCAATGTCAACCCAGAGGGAACTGAATTATTTTTCTAAGGTGAGGTGAAGTAAAGAAGCAAAAACTATCTCTTAGAGATATTTTTACTAACGATGCAATACTTAGAAGGAGGCATTTCTCATAAGAAAGCTTAAAATCTTAGACTGTAAACAGCAGACTTTCCATAGAATGGTGCTAAGGAAGGGGCTTTAGTGGAAATTCAGAGATACAGCATATTACAAATCAAGGAATTTAAAATGCAGGAGGTAAGATATAAACCTCTACATATGTGAAAGATGCAAAGACAATTACGTAGTAAAATGGACATGGCACCAAAGAAGAGCATATATATTAAGCTCATAAATGCCCGAGAGGTTATGGAATAAAGGAATACAAATAATTGGACGAGATAAATTAGAAAAGGCTTCCTAAAAGAAGTAAGTCCTTTTATCTTGGTAACTTGAGTTTTTCTTGTGTTCTCTTCTTACTTCCTTTTATCAGGATCAGCCTTCTTATAGGCAATGGTTCTTAATGTGGTAGTTGTAATGGATTAAATTGTATCCTCCCCAGAATATGTGTTGGAATCCTAACCCTTATGCCTGTGGATGTAATCTTGTTTGGAAATAGAGTTTTCTATGTTATGTTAATAAGATCATATCTGAGTAAGGTGGGTTCTAAATCTAATCACTTCTGAGTTATAAAAAGAGCAGATTAGTTAGACTGATAACTGGTTAACCTAACCATAGCAGGCCATAACCACAAAAGGCCAACTTGTCTGTTAGAATCTGAAAAGCTTAAAACAATAGGAAACTACATCAAAGGAGTAGAACAGAGTGCTCTAACCGGTTTAATGGACAGTGGATGTGCATACCAAAACTAAATAACAATTTACACAGGAAGCAAGTAACATCACACATAGCTGACATAAATACAAAACAATCATCATATGACAGACCCTGGATCCCTGAGCCAAGAGACCAAATTGTTAGACAAGAAAAACAAGAAAAGTTCACCCAATCATGATCTTAGTTCTTTGTCTTTACTTTAACCAATCATAGTCTGTAAGTAATTTACTCATAAGTACGTGTTTCAATGATTGTAAGGGCATGTTAAAAGACCCTTACTTATAAGGAATCAGCACCTGTCAAAACTGTATAAAAAGCACATATAGCTTGTACTTCTTCGGATTTTGGTCTGTTTATAGCCTGAGTGCTTGCAGCCAATTTCCCGTTTTGTTTTCTAATATGTTGCAATAAAAATCTCTTTGTTGCATAAGGCTTTGGTGAAAGCTGTCTCAGCAAGACACAGACACACACACGTACACACACACCACCCACAGGGAAAGACAGACATTATGGGAGGGTAGTCAACAAGCCAAGGAACCCAAGAATGCCTGTGACTACCTACAAGGAAGGAACTGACACAGTGGCGATGCTGATTTGAACTTTTAGCCTCCAGAAGTGTGAGAAAAGAAATTTCTGTTCTTTAAAGCCACCTCCTTGTGGTATTTGTGTTATGGCAGCATTAGGGAACAGAGACAGTGCTATACATAGACCCCTTTGGGGAACTGACAGAAGATAGGATGTTCTCTTCAGAAAAATGCTATTACATGCTCATACTCAGATATGTTTTAACATACAATTTCACTGACTCCCAGAAGCTCAACCATGGATGTCAGTTAAAGAACCTCTGTTCTCCAACTTAATATGGAAAGGAAAGAGGTCCTGGATAAATAAAGCATTACTAAAGAAGAACAAAGTAGGAGAACTCACACTTCCCGAACTCAGAACCTACTATGCAACCACAGTAGTCAAAACAGCCTGGTACTGGTACATCGACAGACATATAGACCAATGGAACAGAACTGAGAATACACAAAGAAATCCATCCACCTATGGACAGTTTATCTTTCACAATAGGTCAAAATCCATTAAATGGGGAAGAGATACTCTCTTTAACAAATGATGCCATTAAAACTGGATATCCATTTGCAGAAAAATGAAACAGGACCCGTACCTCACACCATACACAAAAACGAACTCAAAATGGATCAAAGATCTAAATGTAAAACTTAAAACTATAAAGTTCATGGAAGAAAAAATAGGGACAAAGCCAGGGGTCCTACTTTATGGTATAAATAGACTACAATCATACCTAAATGTGCACAAATAACAGAAGATAAATTAGATAACTGGAATCTCCTAAAAATTAAATACTTATGTTCATCAAAAGACTTCTCCAACAGAGTAAAAATAGAACCTACAGACTGGAAAAAAAAATTGGCAACAACATAACCCACAAGGGTCTAATCTCTAAAACTGATAGAAAACTCCAACACCTCAACAACAATTAGACAAACAATCCAATTAAAAAACGGGCAAAGACATGAACAGACACTTCTCCAAAGAAGACGTTCAGGTGGCTAACAAACATGTGAAGAGACGCTCGAGATCATTAGCCACTAGGGATATGCAAGTCAAAACTACAATGAGATACCATCTCACCTCAGCGATAATGGCACCCATCAAAAAACTCAAAAAACAACAAATGCTGGTGAGGCTGTGGGGAGATTGGAACTCTTATAAACTGTTGGTGAGAATGTAAAATGGTACAATCGCTATGGAAAATGGCATGGTGCTTCTTAAAAAGCTAGAAATAGAAATACCATATGATCCAGCAATTTCACTCCTAGGTATATATCCTAGAGAAATAAGAGCCGTCACACAAATAGACATATGCACACCTATGTTCACTAAAGCATTATTCACGATAGCAAAGAGATGGAAACAACCTAAGTGCCCATCAACGGATGAATGGATAAACAAATTGTGGTACATACACACAATGGAATGCTATGCAACAATAAAGAATAATAATGAATCCGCGTAACATCTCACAAAATGGATAAAGCTGGAGGACATTATGCTGAGTGAAATAAGTCAATCACAAAAGAACAAATATTGTGTGAGACCACTATTATAAAAAAAATCAAGAAAGGTTTACACACAGAAACATTCTTTGATGGTTACCAGGGATGGGAGGGAGAAGGTAGGGAATATCACTAACTAGACTGTAGACACATGTTAATTTTGGTGAAGGGAAAGGGGGAAGTCAGCACAACTTGAGTAAAGCAAAGGAAGACACTGAGAGGCATGCAAGAATAAAGTGCAGCTATGGTAAATACTACAGCATATACAATCCTGCAACAACAGTAATAACAAACTATAATTTACTAGTGGATATGTAGGTAGGTACGTATGCTAAATAGGTGTGGGATGTTGTACGGGAGTATACCTGCGTGCATATATAGGTATGGTTGTGGATATTTTTGTATACATATTTATATGTGCTGCATGTGTATTCATATATATAACGGCACACAAGGGGCACAGTTATGGAAACTTCTTAGACATAACCAAACACCTCATGGGACAGAGATACTGGGATTGAAGGCTGAGGAAGGATCATGGTCTTGGGGGACATCTAAGTCAACTGGCATAATATAGTTCATAAAGATAATGTTCTACATCCTACTGTGGTGAGTAGCATCTGGGGTCTTAAAAGCTCGTGAGTGGCCACCTAAGATACCACTATTGGTCTCTTCCCGTCTGGAGCAAAGGAGAGTGAAGAAAATCAAAAACTCAGGGAAATAATTAATCCAAAGGACTAATGGCCCACATGAACCACAGCCTCCACTAGACTGAGACCAGAAGAACCAGATGGTGCCTAACTACCACCACCAACCCCTCTGACCAGGAACATAATAGAAGGTCCCAGTTAGAGTGGGAAAAAAATGTAGAACAAAATCCAAATTCATAAAAAAAACCAGACTTACTGGTCTGGTAGAGACTGGAGGAAGCAGTGAGACAATAGCCCTAAGACACCCTTCTAAGGTGGAACTGAAGACACTCCCTGAGATCTCCTTTCAGCCAAATAGTAGACAGGCCTATAAAGTAAACAATAGCACCTGTGAGGAAGGTACTCCTTAGAACAATCAACTCTACAAGACCCAAAAGGCAACATTTGCCCAAAAGCAAATATGAGAAGGCAGGAAGGGGAAGGGAAATGGGACAAATGGAAATGAGGAACCAAGGGTGGAAATGGGGAGAGTGCTGACACATTGCAGGGATTGCAAAAAAAAAACAAAAACAAAAACAAAAAAACACCCATCCATCCATCCAATCATCCATTCATCTAATCATCCAATAAACATTTAAGTGTCTGCTGAATGCTTGCATGGCCTATAAAATGGTTATGCAGGATTACCCGTGTGCTAATAATGTTAACCAGATAACTGCTGTGATATTCATGACTCTACCCATTGGCTGCATCATTCTTTTCTGCATCTCACTAAAAGATTCAGAATCTTATCCTTCCTTTTGTAAGGTAAGGCAGAAAACAGAAAAGCCTGCAGAGCCACTAAAACAGAGAGGGGAAAAGTTTTCTGGCTAAGAAATAAAATAAGCAGCACATATTTTACAGAGGATCAGAACCTTGGAGGAATATGTTCGGAAAGGCTGTGCTTTGAGCAAGTTATTAAGTAAAGGCTGAGGATCAAGGGCCTGAGACAAAGAAGCCACATCCAGTCCTGACCAGCAGGGGCCAAGCACAAGACCAGGATGATGTGGAAAACAAAAACAGGAGCTCCAGGATCTGAACAGGAGATAAACACAGACTGGACCAAACTAGCCCAGATACTACGTTCTCATCCACATGGCTAATAACATTCATCAGTTGCTCAATAAGAAAGAAAAGATTGTCTCAGGGTATTCTTTACAGTTAGTTGATTCTCATTCTGTGGTGGATTCAGTCATCCACAAAACCATCCATATTTTTTGTCTTCTTTATAAAGTCCCAAGATAAGGGACCCCTCTGGGTAGTCAGAATGTCTTCTGATGCACAATGCACAAAATAAAGGTTTTTCTACTCCTTATGCAAGGCTGCCTTGGGCTTCCTACACAAAACACCAGTGCTGGCAACATATAGTTCTTACCTGGATACGCTCATTAGGGGAGACAGACATGTAAATAAATCATTATAACAACAAGAGAAGTACTAAAATAGAGATATGGAAATTTCATCAGTGGGAGGCAGGCCCCACTCTGCCTGGGAACACTTCCAGAGGAGGTGACATTTCTCTTGTAATGAACTCATACTGGAAAGTCGTGGTTATATTTCCGAATCTCTCTCGAGTCTCAATTTTGAGGATGGGAAGGGAACAATAGTGGCCTAACATTTTGGGGAACCCTATCAACTTGTCTAGCATGATGGACCTTAACCTGAACTACTTTGGGAAGCTTATGCAGTCCCGTCCCTATTTTAAAAGCTTCTGTAATAAATAACAGTGACAGCTAATATTTGCATTGTACTTGATAGTTCACAAAGAGTGTTCACATTTGATTATCTTATCCTCACAGCTTCCTTTGGAGCTGGTTAAAAAAAAAAAAAAAAAAACCATTGCCATCAAGTTGATTCCAACTCATAGCAACCCTATAGGACAGAGCAGAACTGTCCCACAGTGTTTCCAAGGCTGTAAATCTTAAAGGAAGCAGACTGCCACATCTTTCTCCCGCAGAGCAGCTGGTAGGTTTGAACCACTGACATTCTGGCTAGCAGCCTAGCGCTTAACCACTGCACCACCAGGGCTCCTTTTTGTTGGTTAGGATGGGATATATCATCCCCATTTTAGAGATAAACTCAGAGACCCAGTGACTAGCCCAAGAGCACACAGCTGTCAAGAAACTGAACTTGGACTTGAACCCAATGCTTCTGACTTGAAATTCCGTGCCCTTTCCATTGAACACCCTAGAAACCACTAAACACTACTTATTTTTTCATGGGCATACTTACTCTTCGTCCAGGAGGGCCTTGGGATCCTGGAGATCCCGTTTCACCTTTTAAGCCTACACCGAGCTGCAGATAGGAACATGTGTTAATCACCACATCTTCTATCCATGGGGACTATTACAGTTTTAATGAGACTTTAAAATAAATAAATAAATAAAAATTAGAGAGACTAACTATTCTTCAAGTTAAGTAAATTGGTTAGTTGTAATATAAAGTAGCCATTCTTAATCCTTGGTAAACATCCTTTTCCCTTTTAGCCTCTTCATTAGTGACATTGTTCTGGCACTGGCTTTGTATTTAAATCTAAATTAGGCATAAACTGGGATTGGAGCTAACGGGCAAAGCAAATATACTAGGGCACACAGAGATCTTAAAAAACAAAAACAAACCTTCCCATCTGCAATAGATCAAATAAGGAAAATGATTCCTCATACACATAAGAAGATATGGGTCGGCTATGTCAGTCCCAAAGCTCCAGGTGATGGATATGGATGCTAATGAAATTTACCCGGCCAGATGGAAAGTATTCAGTGAATTGCATCTCTTTCACACTGATAATGACCATTGATATTGCGCTCAAGCTTTAAAACGAATGGCTGCTTCTCTGAGCATTGTGTTTTTTAAGTACTCATTATATCTACTCTGCACTTTGCTAATTAGTTCTCAACAGCCTTCCTTAAAGAGACCTTGGTTATTGATAGGGGAATCATCAAAGAACCCTCAAAGACATAGTGGAATGACGGCAGTTTTATTTCCACTCACAGGGTTAATATTCTGGGCTTTAATATGTGCTTTAGAAAAAACTGAAAGGGACTGACATTTCTTGGAACCACCAGTTATCAATCTGTAAATCTTTAAAATAGTTCAGATTCATGGAACCTCAGACTTTTAGAGCTGAAAATAACCTTGGGGTCACTTAGTTCAACTCCCATGTCATAGAAATCCAGACCCTGAAAAAGTGTGTTGAAGGTCACACAGCTAGCAAGTGGGATTTCAGACGCCCTTGGGTTGGATCAATAATTCATATTTCTTATTACAACAAAAAAGTCAGAGTCTTCCAAAGAAACATTTATTACTTCTGGAATTATAGGCCACTTACTGTTAGTCCCCTGAATCCTTTGGGTCCGGGACCCCCAGTCATTTCAGGATTGCCAACATCACCCTGAAGATTCAGAAAGAGGAAATCAAGATGCTAAAATATTTGCTATGAAAATATTTTGATGCTATGAAAAGATTATCTCCAAAACCAAAACTTAATTCATCTTATAACAACTATGCTACATATTAGTGAAGGTCAATACAACACTTTCTCTTGTCATTTGGAACTAAGTCATTGATACACTTAGATATTTTCCAAACTATTTTTAATTTTTCTAATAATACAAATATTTATGCATAAATATCAGTGCAATTGCTATCCAGTCATTCACCCAGATATCCAAAGAAAAGTGCCTAAAAATCAAGGAAAACATATAGAGTATTGACTACATAAAATACTGAATAATGAATTACTTCCTAAATTCATAAATAATTTCTGAAAAAGGTAAAGTTTAAAAAAAATTTACTCTGATTTTGGTGAGGAACTAATTTTAGTAGTTATTTATCAATATGCTAATTTTGCCTTTTTCACTAAATTGAAATATGCTAATTTCTCCCCTTTATCAGTAAATTAGAAAATTATTTTCTCGAATAAGAATGCTTGCCTTAACAGTTATTTATATAGTACCTTCCTGTCCCCTTCTCTACCCAAGGAAATAATCTCTTTTTTGGTAATTCATCAATTACAAATACTGTTTTAAAAAGGATTTAAAAAATGGCTGTTTTCACATTGTTGACTTGATTTGATTAATTAGGCATTCCACTTTTTTACCATATTGCGTATTTTAATTTGAGCATTAATTATATGGAGAACACTGTTCTAGACACTTTTTCAAAAAAGAAATCTTATACAGAATCCCAGTGTCTAAAAACAGATACAACATGAGCAACTCAGGTTGAAATGAAGGGAATGTCTGGTTCCAGAGTATGGAGACAGATTTCAATCTGGTAGCCAATGAGGAGTTCTGGAAGATGTTTCGTCAGGACAGTAACATAATCAGGGCTATGCTTGGGGGAAAAAATAAAGTGACTGTGGTATTTGGGATTAGCTGAAGCAGAGAGAAGGTGGAAGTGGAAAACCAATGAGAAGAATATTGTTATCGTTTAGGCGAGAGAAAGTGAAGGTCATAATAATGAGGGAAAGATAGCAGTAGCTGAAGCCAAGAATACTGAATGAGATCACCAAGGTGGAGAGATCAAGAAGAGGACCAAGAACTAAACCTGAGAGGATACCCGAAGGTAGGAAGAGGAAGAGAAGACCTAGTGTGGTGACAGAGAGAGAGAGAAATATGGCATGTAGGCTAAGGGAGGAAGGAGTGAACTTAAGACAGGGACTAAGTATGATGAATACTTCAGGGACACTGAGGACTGAAGTTGTTGAAAATTGAACGAAAGTGTGTAGTCCTTATCAGGAAAACAGTATACCATATTCCTAATCCAGGGTTATTTAGAGGGATGATGTAGGACAGGGGGAGCAGGAAAGGCTGGCCCAAGGGAGAAATTTTAAATTTAATGTTGTCCAGGTGAATAGTTCTGGTGCTGGGAGGCATACTTCTTCATCATACTTGGGAGAGAAGAAAGAATATACAATGTTTAGGAATGAAGAGGGGGAGGACTGTGTTTGTGTGGGCGGCTTCCATCTTTCCCAACAACGCTATTAAATTACATCCTCCCACTAACTGCACAAGCAAAGTTTGGTGACCAAGTTTGTAGAAAATATCTCACATATAGTTTATTCATATTTAAAACATTATTCAGAGTTGGGAATGAAAAGAGAAAAGGCACACGATACAATTTTTTAAAAGCACTAAAGTATTTGTGTCCCTAGTTGACTCAGTCCCACTTTGAACTGGAAGTAGGAGGTGTAGTAAAAGGTCTGAAGGAGTCCAGTTTCTCATACCACTCATTTGATAAGGTACTTTGGAAGACTGTGACTCCTTTATAAGCTGACTACTTCGTCGTCAGTGGTCTTCAGAAAAGATGACTATTTCATTCTTAAAGAGCAGAACCAGGAGAATCATCCATTTAGACAGAAAGTATCTCTGCTAGATCATTTACTTTTTGAGGGCATAAATTATGTCTTACTACTCTTTGTATCTCCTTGCTCTTAGTATGCACATGATAATGTTTGTTGGATAAATGGATGTATGAATTAATATAATATGCTCCATCATCATCTCTTCAACTCATTCACTCATTCATTATTTAGCCAAAAGCATTAATTATTAAAAGATTCTTCTTTTAATCCCCCATGCGGGTATGAGCATTTTTAATGATTCTTAACCTTAGGATGTTCTCTTTGTCACTTCTTATTCGGTGAACCAAATCTGACTGAACTATATACTGTCCAGATTGTGTTGACCAACGAGTTCTGCTCAACCATCATCTATTGGGCTGGGCACAAAATTAGACAGGTGAATAAGGAGGACACTGAGGATATACTTCTTAGGCATTCACAGTATAGTGGGGGGATCAATTAAATACTGGGTGGTAAACCCATGGGAGAACAAAGGAGGAACACTCAGTCTCATCTGAGGATGCAGGGTACTTCCTGGGAGAGATGAATGCTGAGCTGAGATTTGAAAAATGAGTAGAAGCTAGTGAGAGAAGGTGGGAAGGAGGAAGAGAGTGATCCAGGTAGAGAAAATTGCATGAGCCAAATCCACTGTGTTAAACAGAAATACACTGAGAGCACAGAAATACACTTTGATTTTATTAGAGTACAAAGTCTAAGGGTGGAAGGGAAATGAGGGTGAAGAGTCAGTAACGGCCGTGTTGTGGAAGGTGTTCTGGGTCATGTAAAGGGTCAGAACTCGACTTTGAGATTACAATGTGGACCAGTTGAGGGTTGTTGCTGTAGCCCTGGCAAGTGGTTATGAGGGCCTGAT